GAAGTCTTCATTTTGAGACTTTCAAATAGAAAGTTTGATCCTCTAGAAGCAAAGTCTGAGAGCTGCTTTGTGGGAAGGGAAGATGTGGCAGGAAGAGCAGCACGTTTTGGTGAATCCTCGGTCGCCTTCCTCTCAACGATTGCCCGAACTATGTTTGTCTTCATTGTTGCATTAACTTGTGGATCGAAGAGTGCAAGACCCACCAAGCCTTCACTGAGGTACCACAGGTGACGACCGAAGACTGTGAGACATGTTCTTGATATTTTGACGTCGTGGTACTCTGACAGGTCTTGGAGGAGCCGCAAATCATTAGCAGGAGCGGAGGATGGAACGGAGGCCGTGAACCATGCACTGACATACACCTCTAGCACAAAGAATGTGAATCGTTTCAAGCCTAATGTCTCACGAGCAGTTAGTTTAAACTGATTAGCAAAAATCAGGATCTTCATGACATAAATGAGCTTAGCCATCCACCGTGCTCGGTGAAGTGCTCCGGGCCGTCGGAGATTAAACTTGGGTAGAGCTCCATCGAGACACCTGATTGCTAGCTCCAGTACCTCACGGTAATCATCACGTGGCTGCTGCTTCTTGCCCAGATGATGTTTCCAGCAACAGATGAGGTCATCTCGTTTCTCGTACAAACTTGGAGGGAGGTCTGAGAGAGGGCTGTAGTCATCTTGACTGATGTCCTTCCACTTATGCTTGAAGCGAGAGAAGAGAGTATTATCTGGTCCAGAGGAAGGCCCCATGCATTCCACATACGCTTTCTCGGCAACAAGCTCAAGGATGTGGTGACGACACGCGAGATGCAGAAGACGGCGGCCGAGTTTCTGCTCCAGAATGACACATGCCCCCGACAAGTGCCCAGTGTTTGAAGCTGTTGTGTCAAAACTGAGTGCTGAAACATTCTCTGATATTTTCCACTCTTCCAGCGCTGCACTGACTGCTGTAGCAATGGCCTGTCCAGTCCCTGACAATAGTTTCGGGACACCAAGCAGCTTTTCAGTATTGATTCCGGAGACAAGAATGGCGATTCGGTCAACACTCGCTCCTTGTTCATCAGGAATAATTTTTCCATCCCAGTGCACAGTGAGCACTTCACTAGGTTGAAATTTTTCTTTAATTTCGTTGGCAATCCCAGAACGGTGGGTCGCTCGCGAAGTACGCACTGTCTCATAGTTTAAAACTAGTTCCATTGGGTCATGACCTAGACTAGCAGCCGTGGCACTGACGATCCGGAGAGCAGAGCGGTGACTGATCCCAGTGCGGTCCAATGTACTTGACAATTCAGGGGTGATAACTTTGAGAGTAGCACGTTTACGATTGGAAGAAGATACCACTGGTGATATCGCTAGGGAACTTGTAGATGATGACGAGCTTGATTGTGATTCTGTTTCAGACGAAGAACACAACTCATCATATTCAAGAGCAGAACTGGCTTGATTCTGTTGTAGAGATTGCTTACTCTTGCTTTCTTCCCGACGCTTGATGGAACAAGCAATCTTTTTGTCTACTCCTGCCATTACACCTCTTCTCCCTTTTTCTCGTTGCGCTGCCAGGAATGCTCGGTCTTCTTTGATGGTCAAGAGCTGCATTGCCTTGGGGTGGGCAACATCGAAGAGGTCCTCTAACTCATCACAAAAAGTTTCCTCTTTCTTACGTTGTGTGTCTGTAGTGCGAGTGCAGTTTTTCTTAAGTCCCTTCCACATTAAAAAAAGATCCACTACCTTTCGTCCAATACTCTTCTCAGTTATGGTAGGAATCCGTGCTTTATTCCAGAAACTAATAACCGATGCTGCAACTTCACTCGCAGAATCATTCACTGTTTTCTTATGTTCATTGTGACCGTGGAAAAACAGACGTAGAACATCTCCTCTTGAAGGAAGTTGTGCACCCGTGATTTCGGTTATGTGTTGACCAATGAGCCAAACTTCAGTTTTTGAACGTGTACTCTCCATTGAACCTGAAACAAACAAAAACATTTATGTAACTTATGTTGTTACTGTTATGCAAACAACAGCACCCATAAAGCATACGGCATGCAAGATCACTTGTATAAAGTTTTTAAAGTGTTATATACCTAAATTGATGCATTGATTTTAGACAAAGACAATGGTACTAACCGTAATACTGCAACAAGAGCGACGCACACACACCCACCGTCACGTCTCACACACAACTGATGCTACTGTACCAGTCAGACACTGGCACACAACCTCTTCCCCCTACCCCGACTGACACCCGCCTCCCTCCCCTCTGCATTGCCAATAGCTGCACCAGCCAAAATACTCATCACTCATTTTTAGAAAAAATGTTAGGAACAACTTTAGTTTGAATTTGCATTCTACATATACCTGCAAAGTTTCATAGTAATCGGTTCATAAATAAAGAAATTAGAAAAAATCAATAATAATTTCAGTAGTGTTAACTTCAAATGGCTTGAGCCACCTCTAAATATTGTCCAAATGACCCAGGATTTCGCCTGTGTTCTTTTTTCATGGGTACGCAGTATTGGACAAATGGCCATCTAAAAATAAAAACTTTCACTTTTTATTGTCACCCTACTAGGCATACTGTATATGTAAATGTATACATGACGACTTACACCATGATAATACCCTAAAATCATCCACTTCTAACAAGGAGTAGTCTTCATCTACATGTATTAGTAAAATATCGGTTGGTATATCCAGAGTAAACAGTGTATCATCAGAGTATAATGGGAAAGGTTCTACATGCCATGCATTAATTTGCTTTGCACTAGCATAGTTATGTGGATGAGGATAGCATAGTGCATGAGAGTTGACTCTGACAGAAGGATATACAATTCTACCTCTTCGTCTGTGAAAATTGGAGTTAAAACATAACTCATCTTGGCTATTTGTAAGGCTTCAAGAAGAATTTTCACATACACATGCTCTGCATCCACTCGTCCTAACCCTGCATCAACCATACTTGCAATTACTTCGTTTTTGTTATTAGATACAGCTTGAGCTGAAGTTTTCATAGCATGCAAATGCTTGGAAAAAAAGAATCATTCCAATGTAGGCACTGAATTCATGAAATTATAAAAAACATTTTTTAGATAAATTATTAGACTCCGAAATTATTTTGTAATATCAATGTAGAAATGTTAGGAAAATTATTACATACATTTTGCATAACGTAGTTTTAAACAATAATCATCAGATACATTGGGTGTATTTGACGTGTTTGCTGTTTGAACAGTTGTTTCAGGGACATCGATGTCTGGGACATCATTAACATTCCTGGGGAATGAATCTGAATGGACATTTTTTTAAGTCTATCCGCATGCACAACATCTGAGGTTTGTGAGTTTGGCTTCAAAATTTTTAATTTGTTGCACGCTTCTTTAGCAATAATGCGGAATGGTCCATCAATCTTAGTTGAAAGCTTGGACTTTTGTTCAGTTTCTCGCACCATAACGGCATCGCCTATTTCTAGCATGACAGGCTTAGCTTGTTTATGTTGCTTGTAAATCATTTCAGAGTGTGACGCTGCTAAATGTTTACGTACTTGGCCATGAATATCTGTGAATACGCTGATTTGCCTGTTGGGAAATCGTCCACATTATAGACTGGGCATGGCTTGTCTGTAAGTACGTCATACGGTAGACGTTTGTCTATGCCGTAAACAATATAGTCGGGTGATTTGCCTGCAGAGCTGTTGATCAACCCATTAATAGATGCGGCGACTTGCGGTAACCAATCTTCTCATGCACAGTGCATTTGACTCACTATTGGACAAAGAATCTATAGGATTTTACAATTGGTTCTCTCAACAAGGTCATTAGCCTGTAGATGATAGGTTGCAATAAAACTTTGTTGGATGTCGCATTGTCGACATATTTGTGCTAAAAGTCGATTCTTGTCGGAGAGAAAAACCTTAGGCATAGTAAAAGGACATATTAGGTGCATTACTAGGGCATAGGCCATTGATTCGGCTGTTTTATCCTTCAGTGGGACTAAATCACAAATCTTGAAAAATGATCCAACCACACTAGTACGTACGAGGATCCCTGATGACTCCTTGGAAGTTGTTATAAGTCAGTGGTGACTGTGTCAAATGGAATTCTGGTGTAGGATATTGTATAATTAGAGCCGGTGACCTTGTAGTACCCTTATGTTGAGCACATGACAAACACTTTGCAATGTGCTGCTCTATGTCTTTTTTCATCGTATAGTCCAGAAATACTTCTTTCTGACCTCCCCCAGACATTTGTCACCATCCGGGGTGACCTGCTTGGGGAGCATCGTGATACAACGTTAGTATCGTTTCACGAAGAGTATCAGGTACGACAATTTGTGAGTGTTAAACCTTGATTTTTTTAAAACATAACCTAACCTTACGTAAGTGTTAAACCTTGATTTTTTCTAACCTAACCTAACCTGACGTAAATGATAAACCTTGATTTTTTTTTCTAACCTAACCTAACCTTATGTAAGTGTTAAACCTTGATTTTTCCTAACCTAACCTTACGTATGTGTTAAACATTGATTTTTTCTAACCTAACCTTACGTAGGTGTTAAACCTTGATTTTTCTTTTACCTGGTACAGTATATTATTCTCTTATTGATATTTCTCTTCTATATTATGTGTGTGTGCATACCATCTTAAAGTTAAGATGTTATTTTTACTACAACGCATGTATTGTGTAGGCAAAAAGTGGAGTTTGGGGGTCGGCCCAGTCTCTATTTCAATTAATCCCACAGTATCTCAAGGCTTTTCATGCAACCCCAAGGATGATCAAAAGTGATGCTGTGGGAATGGATCTATAAATTTTAATTTTGCTTATACAGTATTACTGGGAAGCAAAAGTTGTCTTTGGAGCATATCAAGGCTCTTAGCTGGGACAAGCTTATCAGGGTGTGTACTCCAGTAACCATCTTTTTCACATGGAAAATTAGTTACTGTATTATATCAATATAAGCCATGTTATCTTGTTCTAAGTTTTATAACTAAAAAAACAGCTGTATTACTTGATAAAGGTTTGAGACTGGTCCAGAAGTGCAGTGAAACTTTCCACGAGTGCCATAGCCTCCAATTCACTGCTAGTTGTAACAGTCACTTGATGACTATACTTTGGTAATTTCTTGCTTGGGTGCAGTGGGCTCACCTCCTCTCCATCTAAAAGATATCAAATACAGTACACATCACTAATTAACTGATAGTAGACTGAATGGCGACAAATTAATACAATGAACTCCCCCATGTCCCTCCCACCATCAGTAGTGCTTTTGTTGTCACAGAGGAAGTGTCTGGGAATTCCAGTGATACGTTGTGCAGATATACCCTTTGCTACAGCAATGATGCCTTGACACCCTATACAATAATAAGAATATTATTTACCTACCTACAGTATTTACCTAATGGCTACCCAAATTAGAGGTGGCCATGTCAAGGGAAGGAGGACAGTGCACATGGGGCGTACCAACGGTAAGGAGGCGTATCATAATAATAAAATAATAATAATAATTAACGGTTTATTAAGAAAACATGGCAGCTCGAAGGCTGAAAATATACAATGAACAGAGATGATAAGTTACATATGGTGAAATCGTGGATTGAGTGACTTGATTGACAAAAGCTTTCAATACAAAAACATACGAAACATAGAGTCAAAATATAGATTAACTTTAGATCTGGTACTGTGGGAGCTGGTCTGTAGACATTCTTGTGACCTGATGTCGGCGCCAACAAAGTCCTTCCCACTGTCTTGATGGCCGTTGTACCTGGTTGCTAAGCCGCTACCTCGCTGCAGCTGCAGATGTACCACATGGTCCGGGTAGGTCCTCCAGCTCACACAAGGTGGTGGTGGTTCTTGTTCCTCATGTGATGAAGTTAGGAATTCATACTTTCTCACCTGGATGGAGTAGGGAGTCCTCATTTCTCTCCTGGTGTAGTTTGGAGTGTTTCTTGGCTTCTCATCCAGTGTTGGGGTGGCAAGTGTACCGTGGGCTGTGTGCGTGAGGTCAAGGTGTCAGGTCAACATTGGCCGCTAAGTACTGATTGTCGCTCTAACAGTTGTTTCTCCTGTTCGAGTTGAATTTGTCACTTTTGTATATCAGTTGTGGGTTGATCAACAATCTTTGCACTGTACTGTTGGTGGGAGGATGTTGATAAATCCAGATGGGGAGGAGGAGATGGGGGAGGGGAAGGGCCCGACAGACCGGGCTGGCAGCTGTCTCCATGGTCAAGAGACCACAGGCGGCGCCGACTACACACGTCCTTACCCTATGAAGGCTGAAGGAAGTGTGTATGTCCCAACGGGATGAAGAAACTGCACTAATTGAGATTGAATGTGAGATGGACCTAGGTGTGTATGCTGACAATGAGTTGAAGTTCTCGGGCCATTGCAAGAAGGTAAACCAGGCAAATAAATTATTGGGTCTTATAAGAAGGTCGTTCAGATATCTAGACGGTCCGTCCCTCATAAAGATCTTCAAGAGTAAAGTGCTTCCCCATCTGGAGTACTGTCACCCCATCTGGTCCCTGAGATATGCTAGGGACTGTCAGTTGGTTGAAAATGTTCAAAGGAGGGCCACCAGACTGGTGCCTGCACTTCGGCACCTCAGCTACCCTGAGAGATTGGAGCGCATGAACTTGCCTAGCTTATACTATAGACGGGCAAGGGGGAACCTATTTAAGGTGTATAAGCATCTCAGGGGGTACTACTCAGTCGAGTGTCCTTACTTGGAGCTGGCAGACGCTCGCCCCACAAGGGGTCACAGCTCAAGATTGAAGAAGCCCCAAGTCCAGATAACTGCGAGGGCAAACTCTTGGAACAATTTACCAGAGAGTGTTGTGACGGCACTGAGTGTGAGCTCTTTCAAGACAAAACTTGACCAACACTGGAGCAGGTTCAGGTATATTCAGGAGCCGATGCATGCCCAGTATTTGCCAACAGTGCGTGACAGAGATGTGACCGATCGCCCGGGTGGCTAGAGAGCCGATCATTTGGAGAAGATGATAAATGAAAAGGAAAAGTAATCAGAGACGTGACCGATCGCCCAAGCGGATAATGAGCCGATCAGTGGCGAAGAGGATAAAAGTAAAAGTAAAAGTGAAAGATCCTTCCATTGTTATTGATAGTCTTGTCTAGAGCTATTTTGAAACTCAGTACTGTTCTCAATTCCACAGATTGAGCTGTCCCATGTATCTATCACCAGTGGCGGCCATATATTGTGTGCAGACTGTGCAGTGCACAGAGGCCCACAAGCTATAGAAGGCCCACTTAGGATTAAATAAAAAAAATGAAATTTAGGAAAAGACAAATTTAAATTCTGTACAGAAAAGATAAAAAAAATCATGCATAGCAAAAAATGGCTCTTATTATGATTGACTAATTAACTGAGTTTGAATATGTCACCAGATACTGGAATTTGGATGCGCTGCACTCTCGTGACAGATGCAAAAGGTAAAGAAACATATCTTGAGCTTGCCTCTTACAGCAGCCAGCCAACCCCACAGTTTTCATTTTCATTACATTTCAGAGAAGTTAGAAGCTATGAGTATCAGCCCCAACTGTCATGACCACAGTCATACATGTTAGCAGTGGCTAATCCTCTGAGCATGCTAGGCATGATGGCGCATGCTCACTGCTCAGGGCTTTTTGTTTGTTTATTCATCTTAAATAATAAATTTACATTTATACTCTAAAATGCAGCCTAGCGCTTAGTAACAGCACTGTGTAAGGGAGCGAGGCCGGGGCTAGCTCCTCTCCCAAGCGCATCGGTAGGTGCTGTTTCACCTCAATGAAAGCCGGAGCGAGCAGCTCGTTGACGTCACAGTCATATCACAGTGAAATGGCAGATATAATCAGCCAGACCGTGGAGCATCATTGTCGCTCCACCCACGAGTCCGTGTGGGTCGTGCGTGTTGTGTACATTCTTCCGCTCATTTGTGTTATGATGCTTCTGCTACCCGAGTGTTATAAACTTATAATGTTATAAATATTCTACTTGCGATGGAAACTGTGGTAGAAGAGAACACTTGTTTAGCTAAGGAACTGCTGGAAAAGCCATTTTCGAGAAGAAACATTTCAGAGAAAATTGAAATCGTAGGAAAACATAGACCATGTCTACGAATTCCAGGACTTACAAAGAAGCATACAGATAAAAACAAAGAATGTGTTAGGCATTTTAATATCACTCATACGAAAGCACGCATTGGTTGACTGGCTCAAATAAGTCAAACAAACTCTTCTGCTGGCTGTGTCTGCTCTTTTCAACTGATCACAGTGTATGATCGAAAACTTGTTTTGATAATTTGAATACTTTGTCATTGGCACTGATGTCAATTGAAAAAACTCTGCTTGGGCACTTGAAAATGAAGCATACATTTTATGATGAAGTGACTGAAAAATTTATTGAAAAAAATAGGAGGACGGAGTTCGTTTATAAGTGAAAGCCTGAAAGGGAAAGAAAAGGGGAGAAGAAACCAAGGAGAAGGAGAAAGGTAAGACCTTTGTACACTTTTATATACTAAAATACAATAAATTGTTTTTTAATTTATTTCACTTTTTCAAATACACTGTACTGTACTGTTTTTTTGCTTTCCTTTTTTAGGCTATTTTAAATTTCAATGAGAGAATAGGTAGCAGGCTAAGTTAATAATACAATGGCATGCACAGGCCTACTTGAAAGCTTTTATTATCATAATATCTCAAAATAGTATTTAATGTTAAACCACTAGGAACAGCACCACCCCTCCCTCTCTGCTCTAAAAAATAGAGAGCATACTCAAGATCTTAGGTCAGGATTCACCACTGCATGTTAGTTAACGTAAAATCAGATGATACGTATTACGCTCCATAGCCCATAAAGCATGTAGCTATAACTTACTTCTTGATTCCTCCTACTAAGACATCCGTTTTCTGTCCACTTCAGTGGACCGATATGTCCATTTTCTCTCGTGTGTTTCAAATCTCTCGTATCTCATGTTGATCTTTGTGTATTCAAATTTACGAATGAATGCAAATGTGTTACTGTAAGCTAGATATACCTGCTTACAGCTGAGACATTCAAGATCCATTATGAGTGATGTTGAAAGTTTCAACTGTATTTCTTGTTAGTAAAATTGTCACGTAAGGCGAGTGTTAGAGCTTTTCAGGGAGTGTGAGAATCCTATTCCCGCCCCTGTGAGGCGTACAAGACTTCCATTTGCCACCTTAGATCTATTTTGCTATTTATAAAGTACAAACCATTGGTCAGTTTTGTGTTGTCTAAGTGTTACAGTACAAGGGCATATCCAGTGGGGTCCTGGGGGTCCGGATCCACCCTTTTCATTAGTAAATTTCAATACTTTTTCTTTAATGCAGAATTTTACTCAGGCATCTTTGGAGAGTAAAAGTTAATTACCAAAGACCTCAGAATATCTCCTAATATGAAGTGCACATGGCTTTAAAATGGCCTCAAAATGCCCATGATATTGGTCAGATTTTCAAAACTCTTCTTGGGGCTTACAGCACCCCCACAAACCCCCAGCTGGGTGGGCTCGCTGTGCAAGCCATGTTCCCATATCCAAAACTTTTTAGACCCCCCCCTCCTTTCGATATTTCTGGATCAACCCCTGCAGTAAGGTAATCAGTCATTGAACCTAAGTTTATATGTTGTGAGTGAAGTTTCAAATCGTCACAGAATCCAGATTTGATTTTAATAAATATTGATTCAGTTCAATGTGTGTCTCATCGCTCCTTCCTTCTAACAATTGGCATCCCTGAAAATATAATGAAAGCTCACATGCCTAACCTCTTGTGTCCACCATGCTACCAATTTATTGAGAGGTTAATTGTATTCTAAAGAAAAGCCTGGATGGTGGCAGTTCTAAGATATATGTATAGTAAGTACAAGAATGTGTAAGAATGCAGAAGAATGTGGTTTTCCCAAATAAATCCACAGAATAGAATAAAACTAAATAAATATGAGAATAAAAGGAAGTAAAAAAAAATAAACAAATAAGTAAGAGTATTGAGAGTACTGTAGTGGACGTCTCCCCTACAAACTGCGTATCGCATTCCAATGTGCCGCCTTCCCTAGCAACCAACCAGATGTTACCGTATCTTAGCAACGGAACTAGTCACCGGCGACTTTCTGGGTTTTCCCAACATGACTCATAGCGGCTGCTGC